ACACTATATATATAATTAATTAAATAATAAATAAAGGACACGACGACACAATANANAGAAATAGTATAATTAACTAACTACTATACTACTACACACACACACACACAACTATATATATATATATATATATAGTTATATATATATATATATATATATATATATATATATATATATATATATATATATACATATACATGTTCATATATACGTACATACATACATACATACACACACACACACACATATATATATATATGCTCCGGTTCAACATAATTGCACGACCTGCGACACGAATTGGCTAAAAAAAATCAAATTGTACTCAACAGTTACAGTGATATAAACATATTCACGCATATGAACAAGGCCAAGTCTTTCTCACAAAAAAACATACTTACGTAGTCACACCTGACAAAGGAGTGCGAAATGATCATCGGCGAAAATACAACGTCGACATCGTATGGCCTTAAAAGCATACGGAACGGGAGTTTAGAATAGCGCACCATTGGCGCTGCTATCTTTACAAAGCTACCCTCTGCCCGTTTATTGTCGAATACCTTCATGAGATCGCCTGTTTCGCGCTCGCGATGTGCAGTTGACATATCCATATTATATTGAGATATGCTTCAAAGGCACCTTGTTCATTAGATACAGAAGTATTTAGTAAGCATGTCCTTGTACTTATATAAGCAGAAGTGATTTTAAAGCAAATGCGCAACAGCGAAAGCTTTTTGTGTGTTCAGAGTTGTGATTTTTGAGGACACGTCATCAAAAAAAATACTCCCAATCGAACATTTTGGATAGAAAAAGGCCTAAATATAGCAGTAATCAGCCTAAATTGTGGCCTAATGGTCGCCCCGTGATGTGTACCTACTTTTTGACTAATTTTGAGAAATCAATGAACCCACATGCCCGCCGAAAGCGAGTACAACAAGGACGGGATATATACTAGCACACGAAGATTCGCAATAACCCTTTTTACATCTGCTTGACATCATGAGTAAGTGTAAAAATACACGCTTCTGCACGCATACTGTATAGTAACGTAAGAGAAACGACCTCAAACCAGCCAATACCGATCAACTATCAGCAAAGACTGCAACAGTCCAAGATATGCCCTGAAAACGTATTCGAACACTCCAACTTGTGAGATATTTTTAGGATGTAATGTCACAGTAGCGAGAATAATAGCGAGATGCATATGCGTACGAAAACATGAATCGAAAATGGGATAATGCGACGGAGAAAAATCAGCATAGCGAGCGTTTCAGATACCTTTAGAGCTTCAAGGATCTGAATGTACGCACAGTTTGTATCATATCAATATCGAGATCTCGGGATTGATGGGGCATAGGCATGGCTCGGGTAGAATAGGGCAAGTAGTCTGGCCGGTCTTGTAATTCAATAGTCAATATGGACTACTTATATCGGTGCACATGGCCTTGTAGTATTTCTCTAGTTAAGTATATTCTCAGATATGTACTTGAAATTTGATACTCATTAGCGTATGTGGCTCTTTTTCACTTCGTCGCACAGCGGTTGGCAAGAATAAGCGTTTATCCAAGAAGGGCAAGGGATCCAAGAAGAAGACGTAAGTTATTGTGGTCGATATTATTGCCAGTGTACTTACTCGATTTGCACCTGAGTTTTGTAGTTTGTATGGCATATCGTATCTTGCACTATGCGTGCAAGGTATTGGTATATTTCCACCTGAGTTTTGTAGTTTGTATGGTATATCGTATCTTGCACTATGCGTGCAAGGTATTGGTATTGGTATTGCTCTTGCGTAACGTGGGTTGCTTACGTGCACATTTTGCTATAAATCTCAAATCGAATACAGTGTGGACCCTTTTTCAAAGAAGGATTGGTATGATATCAAGGCCCCTTCCGTTTTCACCAAGCGCAATGTTGGTAAGACTCTTGTAAACCGTACGCAAGGTACCAAGATCGCCTCTGACGGTCTTATGGGCCGTGTATTCGAGGTGTCCCTTGCTGATCTAAACGACGATGAGGATCAGGCCTACCGCAAGATGCGTCTTGTTGTTGAGGATGTCCAAGGCAAGAATGTTATTACTAACTTCCACGGTATGGACTTCACCACCGATAAGCTTCATTCTCTGGTTAAGAAGTGGCACTCGCTTATCGAGGCCTTCGCTGACGTGAAGACCACGGATGGATACTACCTGCGTCTATTCTGTATTGGATTCACCAAGCGTCAACCCAATCAGGTTAAGAAGACCTCATACGCCCAGAATGCTCAGATCCGCACCATCCGTAAGAAGATGGTCGAGATCATGACTACTGAGTCCCTAACTTCAGACTTCCGTGAGCTGGTCAACAAATTGTAAGTTATTGTATTGAATTATTTCAATTTCTACATTTTGTATGATGGGTTGGTATATTGTGTGTATTACGATATCGAAAGCTGTCGAAGCGTTTGCTGTTCCAATGTTAAGTTGTAAGCTTCGTATTTTTCTCGATGCTCCCGGTTAGTGTCACACATGGATCCAGGCATGACGGCTTTCGCAATGTCCCAATTGTTGCATATTTCATTCTTTTGGATTTGCATTGCACGTATTTATATATTAACTATATGTCACGCATCCTGTCTGTCAATAGCATTGCTGGCTCCATGGGATCGGATATTACCAAGGCCACCAACGGTATCTACCCTCTACAGAACGTTTACATCCGTAAAGTAAAGATCCTCAAGAAGCCTAAGTTCGATCACCAGAAGCTTATGGAGATGCACGGAGAGGCTAGTGCCACCAGCGAGGGGTAAGTTTTTCTTAATGGCTTGAACATTTTCCTCGTATATTTGCTATGTATTCAATATTTAGTATGAAATCAAGTACAACGTATAGCATATCATGTATCTCGTGTAGTAAATGGCACGAGACTAATTATGTTGTAATTTATGATCTATCAGCGGCGTCAAGGTCGGAAACAAGGACTTCGTTGAGCCTAAGCCACAAGAATCCGTCTAAACGGTGTATAAACGGGCTGAATAAACTCTGGTTCGTGTCAAATTTAGAAAGATGAACTTCTGGTTTCGATTTTGTATTTTGTATTTGTCTTCCAAGTGTGTGCAAAGCCATTTTTTAAATATATTTGTCTTTATGTATCCATATTGAATGATAATCTTTTGATGTGTATACTTGTGTGTTCAGCATGTTAAATTACATGTGACCTGCTTGTAATCTTTTGATGTGTTTACTTGTGTGTTCAAACATGATCAATTACGTATGGCTGGATATATTCTTTTGATGTATATACAAATGTGTTTTAGGGTTTTACTGCGATGCATACTTGCTATATTACCATTTGTTGTCGAAGACATTTGGTATGATACACGAGTTTTTAAAATAGCATTGTTACAACTAAACGGGATTGAATTTTTGTTTGATTATTTGTCATCTGTGTCGATCTTTGAACATGAAGTGGGTTGTAGATTCTTATGTGATCGTCAATGTGATTACTTAAAGGCCAAGTTGAGTTTCGAGTGTTGTATTGTATCCCTGTTCATATGGCATTGCTTGTTCGAATATTTTTATATGATAAGCCAAGTTGATATTGCAAACAATTGAGAACTGCTATATGTCTTATGTCGCGCTGTGCTAATGTAGGCTTTCTATTCACAATCAAATGGACTGTCCGTTTTTCGATGTGTTGCATCTAAAACTCTGAAAAGATTGAACATGTGTATATCATCCTGCGTTGTGCTAGCGCTTTGAATGGTTGTTACTCTGTAGTCCGAAGACAATATTTAATTTGAGTTTCAAGGAGGCGGATATAGGCGTTCATCCCATTTAAGCGGAAACTGTTGAATATTCTGTGTCTTGTAGTTTGCCTCTTCGGGCTGTAGCTAATAGTTCTGGTATGAAGGTGTGCCTTTGGGAAATCAGTTATTTGGTGCTGGGCAGCTGTAGGTTCAATCGGAGGCAATCCGGGTTCTCGAATCGCGCTAATTAGATTTTGAAATATCACTGTAAGTGCTATATTATCCATTGCCTACGGAGGTGCTCTCCTACCTATTTTGTTTCGGTATGCATTCGATAGTGCAGCCAAAGATTTATCATCAGTACTATGGATACTTGTAGACTTTAGACTGATATTATACGCCAAAGTTCAACGTCATAGGTATATGGCTAATATCGAAAATATACCCTCTAATAAATATATTCAAATTTGTTCAATAATGGATTTTCATTTTGTATTTGATTTGATGTTTGGAAGTTGCGTTATGGTCATTTTACACAATGTCTTTGTAGTCGAAGAGAGACGAAACTTGACTCGATCGAACGACAATACATACAAATATGTTTATATATATTCAGAAGATACGTCTATAGCATCTCGGAACTTTAAGGTTTGGCGAACATGACGGGGATGTACCAGTTAACCAGAATTTGTCGACATGGTGGTCATCACTTCTATTTAAAGCTTCCCTTTACAAGTTGTTTACAAGGTCAAATGCTTTTCTATAATTCGTTATTGTTTGAACCGGCTTTTCTTCCCGAACGAACACTTTATTTTATTTTACAAGAGGCTATGAAACACAATTTTGAAATCATTTAAACGCATGTTTGATTCGGTCGATGAACGCTCGCTAGTTGCCGGTTGTTATGGTTTCCCTGCCGTAGTATCCTTTGTTAGTAGAATACGGGAACCTAAAGTATGTCTGGTCACTAATGGAAAGGAACCTGAAACAATCTATATCGCGTGTTTGTTCGGAATAATTAGACGACAGGCTCTATAATGATGTTTTTGAAGTCGTTAACCTTGTTGCCCCTATCAACGATTGAAAATTAAAGCTGATGTAAATATAGGTGTTTTGAATATCTAAGCCTAAAAATAACATGATGGGCCAGCACAGGCCCCAGGCCAGAAGGCTTAATGAGAATATGTACATCAATAAATATTTACAAGGACATGCTGCAGAGCACTTTGTTTTGTTTTGTTTGGTTGTTTTGTAAAAAGAAAACAAAAAAAGAATTCACAAAAACTAAAACAAAACTGACGCAAGAAGAGAGTGGGGAGTGGGGACTCTCTCTGGTGCACTGGCCACTGAGGCTGACTGAACCGCTCTGGTGACTGGTCCCTTCTTCTAGGGGCTGAGGGCCTGAGGCCCTAAAATAATAGACAGTCAACAAAATTCTCATATTTGCACTTTGATTTGTATTTACGCCGATGTCTACGGGCTATGATGGGTGGGTCATTTCGGCGCTAAAGAATCAAATTTAGGACAATCTTGGTAACCTGATATATGCACCTATAAATTCACATAGGGCTATGGACTATACATATACAGAGATAAAAAAGTCATGACCCTCTACTCTCTAGAGTAGAGAGAGAAGAAAGAAAATATGGCTGAACGGACTAACGTTCGTAAAAAGTTGAACGGAAAGGCATATTTGAAAACGGTGTATATCAAGGGGAAACGGCCCGAGGTCTGGACTCTGGAGTGGACTCTGGACTTTCTTGAGGCTGGGTGGACGACCGGACGGCAGGGCTCATAACGTAACCCATATACAGCGTAGACGTACCACGTTTTGACGTTTACGCATAAACTTGCAACACAGTTTGCATATAGACGTAAGGCTCATAACGTAAACGTACTACGTTTTCACGTTTACGAGATGATTTTAAACGTAAATACGTTTTACCTAATGAGACCTGCCGGACGGCCAGTGCTGAAATTGTTTGTTGTTGTTCTCATTAAAAAACCAAGCAATTAACCTCTCCCCCGCCAAAAATGAGCTAAAAATAGCAATGTTGACTGTTGAGAGTACCTGCCACGAGATGAATTGGTAAATAAATACAGGGGCGTTAGCATATCATATTATGCGTCGTATGATAGCTGGCTTTCTCACACTTCTTGAGTCGAAGTTATACATATACATCTCGAGTACTTTTAAGTACAGACATAACCATCATGCTGAATCTTCTACGCACGCGTACCTTTCCAGCACTCTCCAGTGTTGCGCTAAACCCACTTGCGTACAGAGCATTTAGCACCACAACGACTTCAAATGTAACAGCACTTGCGCTCAAGCACGGCGTTAAACTACGCGCACAAGCCCGACGATGCTTCCACTCCAATAATAAAATCATGTCGGCTGAGAAGTCAGGCGCAAAAGCCAAAGGTAAAGAGCAACCAAAGACAAGAGAGATGATGGACTACAAAAACAGGGCTGCTGGCGAGATCACCACTGCTCGCAAAGGTATGCATATTTAACAATATGTTCGACGCTAGGTTCGTTATGGAAACACTTTATGAGACAAACACAATATGGATAAGATTTAATAGATGCACTTTGCGTTTGGGTGTATAACATGCGTTAGAATATGTGTCATACACACACACCCGCACACAGGTACACATACATACACGCATACGAGCACACACACACAAACGCACGTGCACACACACATACACTATACATGAACACACTGACACACGCACACACATAAAATCACACACACACGTAAATATATATATATATAATATACATACATAAACACGCACACACATACGTATATCTATATATATATATATATATAAATATGTATGTGTGTATGTATATATATATACATGCATAACTATACATATAAATA